GCCATCCCTATTAGGTTGGAGGCCATCGCTAGTAGGTTGGAGGCCATCGATATTAGGTGGGAGGCCATCGCTATTTGGTTGGAGGCCATCGCTAGTAGGTTGGAGGCCGTGGCTCTTGGGTTGGAGGCCATCACTAGTAGGTTGGAGGCCATCTCTTCTAGGCTGAATACAACTGCTGTTACTTCAGCTGACACCACCTCACCAATGACAGGAGAGAACTAATGCTCTCCCCTCTTGGATTATCTTTTGCCAAGGCAATTGCAATTAGGCCGCAGGGTCGACCAACGATATTCGCAATATAGCAGTCTTCAATTTGTAAGGAGCACCTAAGCAATGCACTCAATATACCTGACAAATAACTAAGAACTGTTTCAAGGTACGGCTTCTTCTCCGTCCCTGCTAGTAGCCACAAGCTATGTGTTTGCTTCCTATCTGCCCAGGCCTCCCCCTGCAAACCTTCCCACTCAATACCCTTGAAAAGGAAGTAAACCCTTCGGCGTTCATCTGATCCCGCCACTCGCAACACTTCAAAGAGCAGAGATGACTTCGCCTCGCAAGCGTGATGAGTCGCTCGAGTGGTCTGGACACCTCGCGCAAAGAAGGCACAAGCATGGCAAGCCCGCTCCCCCTAGTAGCGATGCCCTTTGCTCCTACTAGCGATGGCCTCCAACCTAGCGTGGCACTTGTTACTACTAGCTTCTTGTTACTACTAGTAAGGCACTTGTTACTAGAAGCGATGCACTTGTTACTACTAGCAATGGCCTCCGGGTTTAGGGTTTAGATGGAGAGAACGTCGTGGAGAGATACGCTGCGTCAGAACCGAGCAACCGTGTCATATCCGAGAAACCCCGCATCAAATCTGAGTCCGATTTCCGCGTCACAACTGAGACCCTTTCGTCTGCCGGCATACCATCTCGTTTTTCTTTCTCAGTTCGCTTGTTTGGAGGCCATCACTGCTAGGTTGGAGGCCATCGCTACTAGGGTGGAGGCCATCGCTACTAAGGTGGAGGCCATCGCTACTAGTTGTCCTTTTCTCGTGTTGTTTTCTTTAAACAAGACCTTCTTATATTATATATCAGGTCAGTTTTGACTGGATGAGTTCAGCCCTCCTCTTGGAGCAACAAAGGCATGACACAGCGGCAGCCTCGTCTCTCAGGGGTTCAACATGATACATACGAAAGGCAAGAAAACAAATTGGACTCATCGTCATCGTACTTCTTTTCTCATCATGTGCCAAGTAGAAAAAACTATATGAGTTTGCTTTCTTTCTGGGCTGTCATCTCTTTCCTTCCCTCCTTTCTCTCTGAAGTACAACTTTACTGAGCCCATCACACTGCGAAGACAAGCAACCGCCTCAAAACAAGTGGTCTTGGGAAACAAAACACCGGAATGAACATCAAGAGCATATCGTCCAGCAGTACGTGAACAATCAGACTTGGATGTGCTTAGGTTGTGTACTCTGCAACCTTCGTTGTTTTATGTGTATCTTTCATGTGACATTTAAAGAGCTTGAGCTATTGGCATAGCGCCCGAGCTTCTCCACAGCTGCCCAGTGAACCGACAGCTGCGGAGTAGATCATGATCGATCCGGAATCGATCCGACATGTTTCACACACAGCTTTTTCTCAACTCCGAAGAAGATCTCTTGGGAAGGGGAGGCGAACGGATAGGCTAGGATAGGCTAGGATAGGTGAAGAAGAGAGGTCGGGATCGGACTTCAGGACACCCCCCCCCCACCGCGAAGGGGCCCTCTCGCATTATTCATTTGGTTCCTAGATTGGCCTCCCCCTAGTAGCGATGGCCTCCAATCTACTAGATGTGGTTCAACTTATATAACCACATAAAATCAATATCCTCGCTGTATCAGCAAAATTCAAAGTCATGGAAGCTTAACATCATGCAAGTGTTGGAAGCACTCTGCAAATGATGAAATCTCTTCTTTCCTTGTATGGCCGGTCACTGTTGATCTGGAAGATTCCTGCTCTCATTTCTTCTTGTCGGAGCCCACGACTTGCTCAAAAAAGTCCATCTTCTTCTGCGCCTCAAAACAGATTTGACTTATTGTGATTGTGTTGTCCTTTGCAGAGTTTTTTATTGAAACAGTTTTTGACTGCTTTGTCTGCTTTGTGCAAAGCCCGCTTGGGTGCCTCCTTGTGTGTCCCTGGCGGCCGCTTGTCGCATATAATCATGCCATGGCGCGTGATCTCCTCAGTCATTCGGCAAGGACGCTACTAGGAACAAAGGGCATCGCTACTAGGAGCAAAGGACGCTACTAGGAGCGCTCCTGGCCTTGCTTCTAGGAACAAGAAGCTACTTGTACCAACTGCATCGCTATTGGAGTGTGACTTTGACTTAGCTTCGCTTGCAGCTTTGCTCCACCGCCGCTTCGAGAAACGCTCGTTCGGTCAAGTCCTCTCGTGGCTCCCGCTTGGGCTTCTCCTCTGCCTCCGGCATCTCCCTGACGAAGGTGAGCACACAAAGGTGAGGAGAATGAAACGGGAACGAGAGGCTACTAGTAACAAAGGGCATCGCTACTAGGAGCAAGGACGTTACTAGTAGCTCCTAGCATTACTACTAGAAACAAGATTCTACTAGTAACAAGGGCATCGCTACTAGTAACAAAGGGCACTTGTGAAAACGACCAGTTGAAGGGAGACAAGTCGTTTGACATCGCGACCAAGCAGCAAACGATTTAAGGACATCGTGTGTCTCCAATTATCACAACTCCATGATTCTTCCATTTACTTCTGAAAAAGCTCCTAGTAGCGTCCTTGCTCCTAGTAGCGATGCCCTTTGCTCCTAGTAGCGTCCTTGCTCCTAGTAGTAAGGCCAGGAGCCCCTAGTAGCGTCCATGATTCAAGAACTAAGGAGCAAATTCAGCTAATCGTCCCACCTCACAATCAGCCCGCAAGGTGGCCCCAGCTTGAACTCAAAGTTAGAATGAGTCACAACCAAGCTTTACAGACTTTACTTCCATTTTGCTTTGCTTTACTTCCCATTCCTCGCGTTGCTTGCGCTCTTCGTATTTTGTGCTTCGCTTTCACTATGTACAGAAAACGGGAAACCGTGTTTTCCAGAAGCCACAGGCACATCGTGCCGCAGAAAGGACGTCAAAAAGACGCCGCAACCATTGCTGGCTTCGCACCAGCCTGTCCATCTTTCATTCTGCTTTGCAGAAGATGTTTTTAAAATCACGTTGTCTCCGCTAACCACGCCACAGCACTTTCTACAGAGGAGCTGCGGCGTGCAGCTTCTCTAGCTGGGCCAGGAGCAAAGCCCAACCTCAAAAATAGAACGCAAAGCCTAAGATCATGTCATTCATGATGCACCTGGAACAAACATGCGGCATAAAAATTGCAGGAAGCATTTATCTCCGGCGTTGATTTCCCCCCCCCACAGTCACAGGACACGGCTTAACGTGCACGTTTCGAAACGTGGCGAAGTGATCTGCGGTATCACGTGCACGTTTCGATCTAATCCTTCACGTTTCGGGGTTCACACGGGCGATACCACACGGCCGAAACGTGGCGGGTGCGGTGGTGCGAACTGTCTGCGAGAAGAACCGTCTACGAAGGTCGCCAAGGTCACTGTTCCGTTCGTAGCGTCCTCTTGTTCCTAGTAGTACGGCCAGGAGCGCTCCGTTCGTAGCGTCCGATCGCTTCGTTCGTCGCGATGCCCTTTGTTCCGTTCGTAGCTTCTGTGGCACACAAACTCAGGACTTCGGATGTTTCACTTTATCTTGCCTTTGCAAGTGACCTTGAGCAAGGTGCGCCAGTATTGTGCAGCACAACTGGTGCATGGTTGGAGTCCTCAGCAGACCTTGTGGCCGACATCATTGTGTGATGCTTTCTGGGGGGCGAGGGAAGGTAAGATCTCTGCAGTCTGCGAAGCACAACATCCCAATTGGCATTGCTGCGGATTCCTGGCATCGACAGTCATTCACCCTAGAACCTAAAACGTCTACTCATGCCCATGGCAACGACTTCATCCGGCCTGAAGTGTGCTGTGTGACTGTCTGTGTGATTTGCTCCATGTAATTGAGTTGCGTCCCCAGACAACCCTTTTTTGTAATGATCAGATGTGTTGTTGTGTCTCTGTTTGCGTTCGTTCTACCACAAGGTTTCTCACATACCAATCATTGACAAGGTGTCATGAGTTGACACATAGTTGTGGCATCTCTCTCGGACGGGTTTTGGTGCTTTGATCGGAATAGAGAAGACTGTTGATATGTTCAGGACGTATCAACATAACTGCAAGAAAGTGGTCGAATTGCGCATTTCTCTAAACATTCTGCTCTTAAAGTTCTCAACTTTTTGGCTCTCTCTCTCTCTCTCTTGTAGAGACTCCGCTTTTCTATACTTTTCATTTGCCAAGATCTGATGCAAATCCCGTCCCGAACCTAATAGAAATGGCCTCCGACCTAATAGCGGTGGACTATCCCAAACCCGTACTGACTGAAAGACACTTCGGTCACCCTCGACCCACTGTTGCGCGAAAAAGCAGTGCATTCGCTTCTGAAACGCCGCCAAACCCTGCAGGACCCATGTGTTTTCGTCACACGCTGCTCTAAGAAGCTACTAGTAGCGATGCCCTTTGTTCCTAGTAGCGTCCGATCGCTCCAAGTAGTAAGGCCAGGAGCCCCTAGTAGCGTCCGATCGCTCCTAGTAGTAAGGCCAGGAGCCACTAGTAGCTTCTTGCTCCTAGTAGTACAGCTAAGTCTGAAGATTGAAATTCTCTTTCAAGTCTTTCAACTCCGTTGCCGAGCAAAGTTTTGAGAAGGCGACTCCAAAAGCTGATGCAGCAAACCTGTGCAAGTCCAAACGCATGGCAACGAACTAGTAACAAGTGCATCGCTACTAGTAACAAGTGCCTTACTAGTAGTAACAAGAAGCTACTAGGAACAAGTGCATCGCTACTAGTAACGCATGGCAACGTGTGTTCTTCGAACACGAACCGTGAACCATGGTGAACCTTGCTCGACATCGCGAATGGCCAAATCCCGCAAAGCCCGCCCAGCTGCTGCGGCCGCTGCCTGTCAACATTCGGTGGTCGGCTTAAAGTGCTCCTGTCCTTGCTCCGTTCATAGCAATGCCCTTTGTTGCTAGTAGATTTGTTACTAGCAATGCCAGGAGCTACTAGTAGCGTCCTTGCTCCTAGTGTTGACACAAGTTACAACACCGAAACGGCAGTGCTATCTTTACTCGCTTTGCTGCTGAACACTGTGTTCGCACACCGCGTTGTGCTGTCTCGCCTCCACTTCAGGCAGTACTGCAACTGCTTTGAAGCTTTGGACAGGTTTGGGAGCCCGAAGCTTCTGGGCCAAAGACGAATCCAAAGCCTCAGAACGAAAAGACCGAACAAGAAGCTACTAGGAGCAAAGGGCATCGCTACTAGGAGCAAGGACGCTACTAGGAACAAGAAGCTACTGGAACCAACTTGGAGACCATCGCTAATAGGTTGGAGGCCATCGCTACTAGGTGACCGAACTACTTTGCTGAATCAGTTCTTGCACCCGAGTCACCTCAGCAGAGTCCTGCGAAGCATCGCCGAATCATCGTCGGATCCAATACATTGGATTCGCTCGGATTTGTCATGGAATACATGAAATACATGGAATACATGGAATACCCTCAAATGTTTGTCATCCTTGGCGATCTGCGTCGTCTGCTTCAATGTCCACTCCACTGCATCCTGAAAAATGTAGTGAGGTCATCGCTAGTAGGTTGGAGGCCATCGCTATTAGCTTTCCTAAGAATCTAGGAACCAAATGATTAGTGTGAGTGCTTCTTCAAGCAAGCTCCCCCCATTGCCTTTAGGGCGGCGGGGGGAGCTTCCTTGAAGAAGCGTGAGCTATCCTGGGTCCAGTGCATGTTTACTACCTACAGCAATAGCACCACCCCCAAAATAGAAAATACATAATAGTTATTATTATAGTACAGTAATAACCATAGTTATAGAATAAACCAAAACAACACTATCTGACATTGAAAACAAATATATATATATAATAGGAGCATCCTTACTACTAGGAACAAGAAGCTACTAGGGGCTCCTGGCCTTACTACTAGGAACAAGAAGCTACTAGGGGCTCCTGGCCGTAGTACTAGGAGCAAGGACGCTACTA